CAAAGAGGTTAGCACTGCACCTCGCCCAAAAAAAATGCAAATGTTTTTCATCGATATTTTTCCCCAATGGTCAGGTGTTGATTTAGGTTCGTGATGTTCATTCCATATCATTCTGTATATTAGTTACAGTTTTAAAGGGGCAATACCTTTTTTGTGGTAACCACCCATTCCTAACCACTTGTACAAAAACCTGCAACTCTATTCCAGAGGTGGGGCCAGTGAATTAACTATCCAATGTTATGGACGACTGACTCATGTTATGGAGCGGTGGGGATCCCCCATGATATCTTACAGTATTTTTGGTGATGAACTCGATCTTTATATGTTATTTGTTTTTGGTTTTTATACTTATGTCCACGACCTTAGGTCATGATTTGTTTATGGAAGGTTTATGGATATTGTTCTGTCTATAGTTGACATGTTCTGGGCAAAGACCATATGTAGCCTTACCTAGGTACTCGAGTTTCAAGACCTTTGCCTGGTTATGGACCCCATGCTCCAGGCTGAGCCGTACTTCCCGCACTTTGTTAGTTCATCAGTATTTTGTTGCAACATCAGATTGTCTACTGGAGTGATACCATTTATAGGTATAGATATATAAAGCTGCTTACCACACCCCTTTCCTGTTGCAGGCTGTGGTGGATGAAGTGAATTCCAAAAGGAAAAGCAAGGCACATGTCTGCTTTCAAGGGTTTCAATGGGCCTATCACGCAGTCTGTCAAGATAGTGTATATTAAGTATATGGGTTCCAGTACCATTTTCATTTAAAGGTCTCACACACACACACACCCATATATATGTGCACAGAATCTTTCCATGGTCGCATTGTGGTTTACAGGGTGCCGCTTATACATTCCTGCCCTCAGGCCATGGGAGAAGACTCCAGTGCAGAGGAGAATCCGGATGCCTGGGATGAAGAGGGTCAAGAGGGTGAAGAGGGTGAAGAGGAGGAGCCAAAAGAAACAGATCCCTGTGTTGTTCCAGCTTCTTCGTCTAGTTTGGAAAAAAAAAATAAGGAGGCTGATGTTCCTCAAGGTGGACTTGAAACGGAAACACAAGAAAAACAGGAGAACACGGCCACAAGCAAAAAGGCAGCAGCAAACCAGGAGACAGGTCAGATCAAGGTTGATGAAGGCACAGGTTCCCAGTTACCAGTTGGAACTTCTCCTGTTGGCATCCCCAATTCCCCCAGCGATGCACCATCTACGATCACAAGTGCCGAGCCCATGGGCAGCTTGATTCAATTTAGATACTGTTAAAGCATTACTTTTGGTTTACTCTTCTTTACTAGTTGGCTGAGCTGTGCATTTTTTTGGTGCTAGACATCTTGAGGTTTTGAAACTCTGATGTACTTTCGATGCATCATGTAAGGCAAAAACGATGAACTGATACGCAAACGTCAAGAGATCCTTGCGAAGCTCGAAAGGTGTCTGATCCAAACTTAGCGCTTTCCAAATCCAAGAGGCATGAGCAGTGACAAATACTGCAAAATCCATTGAATTCCTACTACAGCAGTTAGAAATAATTTTGCGTGCATTTTTGGGAACAAACTATCAACGAATGATCTTGATCTAACAAGATGCGTTTGGGCTGGTTTTAGTTTTTCAGTACAAAGATTGTTTGTGCCAACAATAGCCAATCCAGGTGCTATCGGGTATACCTGCGCCTGTTTTTTTGCCCCAGGTTGAAGAAAAGGAAGGAAGAGGAGGAACGGGAGCAACAGCATTGTTTTTCCTTATCTCCGCCAACTTCCAGTGGACCAGGAGCAAAAACGTACTGCATGCTTGCATGCACATGTGTTTGGACATGTTTCAATTAAGCCAGCCAAAGTGGTCTTTAAGATTGTTGGACACCAAACATGAGATGAATGTTTGGAACTACGCATATTTCATGTGTTTTTTTCTTGCGGGAGGAGTTGCAATCGCTTCAGCTACGGACCAGCAAGAAACATGTCCCATGGATATCAACGAGTTGCCGGTGCCTGCAGAAGTTCACATGACAACTTCACCTGAGACTTCATCAGATAGCAAGAGAGAAGTCTATCAGAGATTGAGGAAGAAAACACCACCTGAGGATGCAAGGGTACCTGCGCCTCAAGCCTTGCCTTCCCAGGAAAAACCTTCTACCTCTGACAAACCTGAGTCCACGGAGGAGCTTGAGGAGGCAGGGGAAGGGCTAGCTTCCAGCGGCCAGTGAATGCAAGTAAAAACATGCATGGGTAAGTACCATTGATGCATACCAACTGCATGCACATGGCGTTACAACATCTATATACTATATATTGCAATGAATCGATGTCTATGTTTTCTTTGCTAGGCAAAGCCTTCGGAGCCTTATGTCACAAGGAATGACCAATTGGGACTGAAACCAGCGAAGTCCGAGAGCCGTGGCAGGGGTCGGGGAAAGGGTCGGGGAAGGGGTCGGGGTAGAGGGAAGACTAAGGAGGAAACCAACCAAAGGAAAGGAAAAGACACAAAACCACGTAAGAAAGGAGGCCAATCAGAGGTGGAGGATGATCAGGATTGGTGGCTTGATGAGTCGGAGGCTGGGTGGGGGGATCCAGGTGAGGAATGGGAAGAGGATGATTGGGAAGCATCAGGGTATGACAGGGATGGTGATGACTATGGGTGGCATGATGAATCCCAACCCTCAAAGAAAGCAAAGAAAGCAAAGGAGACACCGGAGGTGACAGGTTCCAAGAAAAAGCAGCCCAAAGCAAAACCAGCAAAGGCACCCAAATCTTCGCTGCGCAAGACACCAGTGCCTGAACCAACAGCAGCTTCTTCACCCAAACCGAAAAGAAAGAACCAAAACTCAGGAGAGGAGAAGAATGAACATCAGAAAGTGAAAAAAACCCGCAAGAATGACAAGCAATGCACCAAGGACACAGAGCAAGCAGAACAGGCGCCAGCCATGATCTATGAGAAAGACATGCCAAAGATTCAAAAGTACGTTGATGCTTACAAGGATGATTCCGCCACTGAAGCCACACAGGAGATGAGAGATGGAATGAGAGCCAAACTCAAGGCTTCCAATCTTCAAGAGTGTAGATTGAATATCTACTGGAGGACTAAGGCCGTAGGCTGCACATCTCGATCATTGGGCAAGGACATTGCATACTTCAATTTCAATGATGTTGAGGGTGTGAATTACATGTCCAAGCTGGCGGCGGCTTTGAAGTGCGCAAAACTGTTTGTTACTTGGGTGCACATAGATGCCAACAGAATGTATATGTGCATGCATCAAGTAGGAGGGATTCATGAAACACCATGCATCCTGACAGGAGAAACACAAGCTTTCCATAAATATCTGTATAATATAATATGCATGGAACTTTTCATGAGAATCGCAGTATGCTTGTTTACGGGATACCCTCACACGCGCCCACGATGAAGGATATTCAACGCTAACTTTGTCACCGTCAATCCAAAAAACATGGTGCATCCTGATGCCCAGCCCAGGCGCTACACCTTGACAAAGCTATTGGAGCAGGTGAGATTGACCAAAAACGTCTTGAGGGACATCCCAAAGTGCAGGAGATCGAAAGGTCAATGAGGGCAACTGGTAGGGCCGTTCTCACTCAAACTTGAAATTTTGCTAGCCTTTGCGATGATGTGTCAATGACTCGCAAGATGCTGGCTGTGTGTTTCTTTTCGGGGCGCAACTTTGAATCAAGTTGCTTTGTAATCCAGTGGGTTCACACTAGTTCAGCTTAGGACTTGCGGGGAAGTTGGCAATCAGCTGTTCTCAAACCTTAGCTGTATCTAGTTTACATTTTTAAAGAACACAGGATCATTTACTTGTGCATGTGCATGTGGCACCGTGCATATTCTCAGATCGAGATATTGGTCAATCAATTGCTTTGGCTTAACATCCCCAACTGCTGCCAGACAACAGCAAAGCCCGAAAGGTATACATGAGCAGGCAATTTATATTTGAAGTCACTGTGGCTATCGATCCATTTGTCACGCTTTTCATAACACTCTTGTCACTGGTGGTGTAACCATACCTTCAGAACGGTTGCGTTCCATATGTTGAGAACGGATGCCCAAATAAAAACATGTTCATATTGAATAATGACACATTGTCTTCACACAACTGAGTTTGGAAGTGATAGCCCAAGACAGTCCTGCTCATCCAAGATTTTCTTTGGCTGCTGTGTGACAGACCTGCCAACGGAGTGCAGTCACCATGACAGTGCTAAAAATGTTTGGCGAACTTGCACACTTCCTGAATCATTTGCAGGTTCGTTCACAGTGGTTTTTAACTTCAGCACTGTTTGTTGGAAACCTTTCGATTAGAACCATTATTGCTGGGCTCGTCCCCAACATGGTCATGATAAACATACTTTGGGAAGTTCTGTTTAAAGCTCTCACTGTTCTCAACCTTTCAGAACTTGGGTACCTTCAAACAGTTTTATGTTCTTTTTCCTGTTTGTCCATCTGATTCATGTTCACCGTGATGCCCCGCCGAGGTCAGACCATGACGGTGGCAGAAAAGCTTCGGCAGCTCAAGCGATCAGGGAAGCTGTGGAGTGTCAGATTGGAAACCCTCAAAACGAAATGTGCTCACTGGCATGTTTTTGGGGAGGTCGGTCATCAAACTTATTTGCCTGATATCGTTGCACAAGTATATAGGTGCAATTGTACCCTTAGAATTGAATTGTCAACATGAATTTCTAGGGACATCTCTGTCACTCAATGGTGGCAAATTTTTGCGATGTTTGGAATTCACGGGGGGCTGGCTCCACCTCCTTCCTTTGCATTTTTCCCCAAAGGATTTTGTTGGAATCTCTGATCTGACACAGGGTGAAACAGGCACACAAGATGCAACAGGTACACTTTCAGTTGACCCATTGAAACCATGAAACCTGTGCGTACAGTTTACTCAGAAAACAAAATTCATGAACATTAACATTCATTGGTACATATATAGTTCACTTTGAATAAACTGTTCCATTTATTTGAACCCACCAAGTTGTCCTGAATCGTTTGGCTGCAATGGCGTGGATTGACGATTTGGTGTATCGCCTTTGGCTTCTACGCTGCCCCAAGGACATGCATCACTAAGCAAACAAAGTGATGTTATATATTGTTTGACTGATCCAGGTACCATCATGGATTCAAAAGCTTTGGACGCCAACGTTGCATGAACAAATATAATAGACAACAGTTATAGCTTCTAAGTAGTTTGAACCAACTGCGCAATGTAGATTAAGGTTGGTACATTACACTCGCCCAGCATTAGCATCTTGCACCAAGCTGGTCCAGTCCTCCAGCGCGCCTTTGGTCAGGAGTTCGTGCTGTGCGTCTTGCTCATCTTCTGGAGTGACTTTGACCTCACGCAGGTTTGGCATGGGTTTTCTCAGTGACAAGGGATCGGGATTCAAGCGAATTAACCATAGTCAAATGCCTAAATGGTGTCAGTTGGGGACTGCCATATTTGTGAAAGGTTACCGGTTACCCATCAGTTTTGGGATTTGTACAACCCATGCGATGCATGTCACCCCAACCATGCTTCATAGTCAACACCCATCTCATGTCAATCAGGACATCGACTACATCGAGTATTTTGCTGGAACGGGCAACCTCAGCAAATGCATGAAGGCAGCTAAATACAAGACTACTCGGCTTGACCTCAAGTACCATGACGTCCCAAAGAACTCAAAGAGGTCAAACTATATGGACCTTAACAGTGGTTCTGGCTTTGCGTTTCTATGGCTGTATTACTCAGGGGTAATTTTGCACATTTGATCTTAGCTGACGGGATTCTGTTTTAATTTGTTCTCAGTGTATACCCTCATTATACTCAAGTGCTATATTGCCCATCCAACAGCCGGCCTTCTTCCTGCATCTGATCTCAGGTTGGCCATGCTCCTCATGATGAAGGGGAAGCTGGGCTCCTTCGCATGCCACTTTGGCATCAAGTGCAGCAGCTTTTGCAAAGTCAACATTGGCACGTCAATGCGGAGTGCGTGCTCAGCCATAGGATGTACACTACATAAGTCCGTCAGGGTGTCCAACAAACTTTTGGAAAGGAGCGTTACTGGAAACATAGTTCAATCATGCAGTTGTCATTGAAATCAAAACCGTCCATAGCTCAACTCAAGAACCCCCTTGAGATCCCAAGAGAGTAGATCACATTCATCCGGTTATGTTTTGTGGGTACTCAACATAGTAGCCTCCAAACAACAAAGCTGGTTTTCAGTTTTGTTTCTGCATCCCTGGCTGCAGGACATGCTGCTTGATCCTACTTTGCACCGCGTTGGGAGGATGTTGGTCGTTGGAGCAACCATCTGGTTCACTGTTGGAGTACTATCCCACTTGGAGGTTCATCCTGGCAATGATCTTTTCTATTGGTGGCCCTCAATCAGCCATAACCTTAGACTGGCTCAAAGGTCGCAGTATAAAACTATACTGCATATATAACACTTATACACTGGACAGGTGTGACGATGGTGGAAGTTGAGTTGGCACATGCATGCATGTGTATTTGTGTGCGTTAGCGAAAACAAAGTATTTTACAAGTCAATTTTTGGACTGCCATGAACCCAGGTGACCGTGGTAAAATGGTGGATGCGGCACTATGACAGTGCGACGGCCAAGAGGCATTACGCCTTTTCCAACAGCCCCAGAGTTCTTAGGTTGAACAGAGGACGTCTTCATAACCCTCCGTCCAAGAGGCAAGCCATCAAAACATGTGAGAAGTACAAAGACAAAACTGGGAAAACCAGATTTAAGGGTACAAAGCACCTCCGTGCTACAGAGCCACTTGATACCAATTAGCAGTATATACCAAGCAACATCTATTGCCTCGAAAAATATTGGGGTATAATATAATAAGGTATCTGTGGAAAGGTTGAAATATTTATTGGAAATTGGTGTTCCTATTTCACTAAAAATTGTATGGGCAATGGATGTTTCTTGGTTATGCTGTATTGGGTTTTTTCGGTTCTCTTTAGTGTTGGGGTTTTGGTATTATTGTGGATCCACCATCCCAACTATTTGACATGATTAACCATGGGTGTCACACTGTTATATCTATGACGTCCACTATCCCCAACCATTCCTATAAGAACAATTCGGTTGACTTAGACCATGCGTGTTGTATGGGCCAAAAAAACACTTTCAAACACTATAGCCGCTGCTGATTCCGAGGGTCTACCCCATGCCCTTTGCCAGAGCGGTGGTGGACCTTATCGAGGAAATGAAGGCATCCTCTCGAGGTCAACCTGAACTTGGTGACGCGGTGCCCCCAGCTACGACCACTTTGGCCATGGAATGGAAAAGTGACCATGAATTGTGGGAATTTGTAGAGTTCGACCAGGTGTTCACGTATTTACGGGGATCAAAACGGTTGAACATACCACCAGAGTTTCGACCATTGATTCCCAAAAAGATTTAATTGGCAATTAGTAGAACCAAACCCAGGGTTCGATGATTTATGTCAAATCATCACAGTCTTGATGCGCAATTCTTCGAACATTTTCTGTACTTTACAGAGTTTTTAAGATTTTGTAATGCAAATGTCGGGTCCGGGTGAGAAACCCATGACCAACCCATGATTTGCATGTGGAAACCTTAGGTTTGGGAACCAAAACCCTGGGTTTGGGAACCAAAAACCTGGGTTTGCTGGAAACCCTAGGTTTGTGCAAACCCGTGACCAACCCGTGACCAACCCGTGTTTTACCCGTGACAACCCGTGATTTTTTTCACGGGTTGAGACCCTGAAAAGTAGGTGATTTTTTTCATCATTTTTTCACGAAAATTTCGATTGATCGGGTTGGTCAATTTGTCGAAATTCATCGCGTTTCAAACCTGCAATATCAACGTTGGATGGTGCACGGTCCCGATTGAAAAAAGGCTCTCTGTGATCAATGTTAATTAGTCTTCAGTCGAGATTATGCTTATTGAAACATCAGTGCATGGGGTAAAACATGGCTCCGACTATTTCCGACTGGTGATGTGTTATTGGGGTAATTTCTTATACCTTATATAATAAGGAAGGTCCATACCTATCGATCGGTCATAGGTTTGATATGAACATAGATCCGCAATAGCCACTCGAAACCTATTTTGATTCGGAAAGCAAAGCATAGCATACCGACGCCATTTTGGTTTGATTGTGGGTAAACCAGGGTTGTATCTTACCCTCAGGCTTTAAACTGCTGGACTCCATGGCTTCCCAGCAGTGGAGCTGTGAAACTTTGGTGGCTGGTGTGGATCATGTCTTGAATGATGCCGAAGATGAAGTAGAACTGATGAAGCAATTACAGGACTCATCTTTTCCTTGTGATTGCTTTCGTGCTTTGATGCTACATTCCCGTTATGGAGCACTTCATGACCATAACCATCATCCATATGGCAAGCTGTAATTTTAATTATGATGGTGGCTCCTTGCAGTATATAGGTCAAGCCTATAGGTCATGTATCACCATGTAACTACACCTGGAAAAACGAATCCTTTGTGCTTCCCACATGCATCAACATCCGCATGTGCATAATTTATGATGCATTGATCAACCAAGTACATGTACCTGCCAAGCATGAAGGAGATTGATCAAAAGCTTGCAGAACATGGTAAGCCTACAAACAACTCCGTGGAACCTGCCTCGACCTCAAAAAAAATGAAGGTTTTGTGCATACCCAAGCTAGGACAAGTCCAGTGTTCCCACACAATCACCCGTTGCCACGGCTGCAAGGCTTCTTCTGGGGAAACCTTGCCGTCCGCTGCCGAGACACTTCCGGTCCAAGCCTCATGGCTTGCGCAAAGTTCAAGACAACAGTGGTTTTGAGTATATTATAGGCATGCAACTGCAACATCCCATGCCCCTAGGCCACTGAAGAGGAATTGGAGGCATCCCGAGCAGGTGCTAATGCTGTCAAGCCAGGGGAATCAGTTGTGCTCCAGCTGCAACTCAAAAGTCGTCAGATTTCTAGCTGATACTGATCTTAAATGGCATTTATCTGAAGTTGTCTTGATTCTTGAAACTGTGCTGGCTTTCATGATGAACTTGAAGTATGCATGACAACACGGAGTGAAAAATGTTGATTGAGGATTCCAATGCGGGTCAGAGCCATCCAGTGGCAACACCTGTTCGTAAACGGCCTGAACCTGCTCAGTCTGTTGAGTGCTTGGATAGTCAGCCTGAAAAAAAAATGCAACGACCTAGTCCTATGGAAGATGCAAGTTCCAATGATGGCACCCCTTCACCTCAACTTGAAGTTGCCACAGCTGATGCCAAGAAGCCAGAGAAACAACCAACGGAAGCGCAGCCCACACCTCGGGTTGAAATTCGATTTGGTGGCATGACCCATCGCCAGGCTTGGTTTTCAAATTCCGTTCATATGTAAAAAGAAATGATTCAATTTTGGTTTTACGGGAAAGCAAGGTATCATCCAATGTGGTACATATGACATGTAACATAACATGTGTCGGGAGCACAGCCGCCATTTGTACACAAGCTTAGTGAATATAGACTAATATAAAATAATCTGAGTGAAAATCCTTTTGAATAGCAAGTGAATCTTTCTGGAGAATACTTGTGTGACAGTTGATGTTTTACTTGAATGATACATTAAGTCAAGATTGATCAGCATGTTTACACCCTGTAGCTACAGCTTCGTCGAGCGGCCAAAGCACGGGTGGACCGTATGTGCAAGGATCACCCGAAAAGGAAGGAGTTGAACTGTCCCGATTGGCTTAAGAAGGAATGGCAAGGTGGTGGGTCCTTGTCCAAGGATGAAGTTGCAGACATTCTCCGTCAAGCCAATTTCAACAAGGATTGTTGTCTGAAAATTTTGTTTTGGGCTTACATGCACAGTTGATAAACCCCACACTATCCAAGCTAGGAAAACCACTTATCGGCATCACCTTTGCACCATGTATTATTTTCACCCTGGAAGCCAAAAAACACACTTATGATTGATCCTGCTTTGCAGGATGAGTTCATGGCTACCCTCAAAACCGTGATCACCAAGAAGCAGAAGGTGATGGTTGAGTTGGATGAAGGATGGTACAGCGAAAGTGAAATGAAGAACGATCTTGGGTGGAACCAGTAGGGACCTTACCACCATGATTTTTGAGTATCGTGTTTGCGCTGACCCAGCGGTGTTTTAGATATGTTTCTCTTACCAACCCCACTGAAATCAAGGACCAGAATCGATGGAGCTAAGAACCGATGCCTTGCTATGCCCGAGACCCATGTCAGGCCTACCAACCATAATGATGCGTGTAATTGTTTTGATTTCGCAGCAAATGTAAATTTGTTTTTCAAGGATGCAATGCTTTGAGTGGTTTTGATTTCAAAACCGAAACCATACCATACCTCACTGACCTATTGCCTTCCGACCTATTGCCTTCCGTCAGGAATAACGCCTACGACGGCGTCCAAGAGTTTTGGGTGATTGTGAGGGAAAGCGGCAAGAAGACTACTGAGTCTAGCTACGAGGAAATTCACGCAAGGGCCTCTAAGGCCCCCAACATTTTTTGTAGAAGGCCGTGTTCAGGGTAGAATAGTCATATCCTTTTGACCTGGCGCAAGGCTGACAAGGAGCCGACCTTCAACATGACGGGCGAGAAATTTGGGGCTCTGAAGTTGGTGGATAAACGGGATGAGTCCGAGAAAACCGCGAGTGCAGCGGATCCTGCACATGACCGCTATTCCCAGGAGTGATTTTTTTTGGGGGGTTGCCACACTTCCAAAATTGAAATCATGGTATCTTTTTAAGGGTGCATGAGGGTATAATCATATATATGCAAATTTTAATTGTTGATTGTGTTTTGATTGCGAAATGATGTGGTGCTTCGAGACTATACAGAATGTATAGCATGACCAAAACAACCTGTGCCTGCGTGCATGGCATGACCAAAACAATCATATCATATGAATCACAATGAATCACAGTAGACCTTTGCATTGACTGGTTTCCAGCATTTTATATCCACCAGGTTCGTGATGATCTCAAACGATTCTTGGAATCCATGATGAGCAAGTCTGGCAAACTGAGAGCTCTCGTGAAAGAGCTGGGTGACAAGTACTCCAAAGATTCTGCTGCTGGTCAGCCACTATACTGATTTAGAAATCCTACATGCACAAATACCACGCAATGAAACTTGAAAGGAATGGTTTACTATATATGACCTACTTCTCACGACTATACCCATGTTAGATCCTTCGCAGGACACCTTGCCCCCCAGCCAGCTCGCTAAGGAACATTCCTGCCTTGCAGCAGGCCATAAAGGAAATCGATCGAGCATATGATGCCTGCAATGATGCGTGGGCACGAGGGGAAGCTGACAGATTTCGGTCTAAGGCGTTACATACTCAGCCATAGTAGTCATCTTTCTAGGGGACAGTCCTCACTCCTCACAAACAAACCATATGAACTGCCACTGTGAAATACACAAAGTAGTCAGCCTAAAACACACAATGCATTGCATTCTATTGCGTTGTGCATCCAGTTCTCATGAGGTTCATCGACATGGCCGAAGCGAACATGAAGCAGGCAACTTTTACGTTCATGCCTCAACTCTATAAAGGAGGGTTCCATAAAATGCTTACTTTTGGAAGCTTCGTTTTCTTCCACCTTCATATATACTTCTCACCAGTCTCCTATTATTGAGGTGCAGCAAAGCCTTGGCAGTTGAGAACAAAGTCAGGACATTTGGGATTGGTGGCCTCTAGATCTTCATCGTAGGGTTATCTACAACACCACCAATGTTTAGGAAACCAATGGTTGAATAAACATGGGTGTCCACCGTCATGAGTTATCCTGACATTTATTTCCACTGTACTGGTTTTCTGGGTAGATTCCATTTGAACCGGTGCAGGAATGCGAAGAAGTACTACACCAGAGATAAGCCTGGTGCTGGATCGGCTGAGCCAAAGAAACCAACCGTGAGTACCAAGGGCAACGCAGAGAAATCGAAAGATAAGGCAGATAAGAAAGCCAAGAAAGACAAGAAGAACAAAAAGGGTAAGTGAAATGCAATATGGCGTGACTACCCTTGAGTTTATTTTGGGGTTCACAGGGGACATTCCCATGTGAATTTTGGTTGTCATCACTTAGAAGCTCATTTTGCGTGTGCACATGCTTCAGGATTTTCAATTCAAGAATCACACCAATACTTACGTTAATTGATGAACCTATGTATGCCATCAAAGCTGTGTTCAACATACTGGTTCACAGAACAGTTGTTTTTTTGGAGGGGATGTTTGATTCAGGCGTGTGGGAACGCAAGAGCTCTGTGATCATAGACTTGAAGAACAACTTAACTTTGGGTGTCGGGTTGAAAACCTGTAGTGCTCCAGCGGGCGGCAATCCCATCAAGTATATTGGGGTGTTGTGGTACATTGACCCGTAGTGATGGCTGTCCCCTTGATAGGGCCCAAAAAAACTTTA